GGAGTGGGGCCCTGAGCTAGAGCTTGTTTAGCTTATACGTAAATCTGGCACTGCTCACCAAGTCTACAGTTCTATGATTCAGCAAAGATGGAGGATGCCGGCGAAAGAGGCATCTTGCCTGACGAAATTGACACCCCCTCTTGAGCAGTTGCCCATTTTTACTTTGCTTTAAAGTCCTAAAGTGAATCGTCCGCTTGCCAGGGAAATGCACAAACAACAACAAGAACACCCCGAGTGAACATCCAGGCAGGCGGCTTACTTGCTCTTGCCATTACCTGGGAATCAATATTGAGGCATCCTGAGCGCAGTAACCACAAATGCCCCATTTTCTCTTGGAATCAATCCCTTCTAATGCAGATAAAGAGCACAGCACAGGGAAAACAAACTCAAGGAGGTCAATGGCAACTTGCTCTCAGCATCTCTGGATCCCTAAGCATGTCAGCAAACATCAGGGAGGTCATCACGGCGACGGGACTCAGCCCAGCGGCCGAATGCATGTTTGGAAAGGGAGTCGCCGAAGGTTCGTTCCGCAATGGCGTTGGGAAAGACTTCTGCCTGAAGCCTCGGGAAGCAGCTGCTAGCCAGTGTGGGCAACACTAAACAGCCTTGGTCCAGTATATCTGAAGGAGTGTCTCCACCCCCATCATTCAGCCCGGACACTGAGGTCCAGCTCCAAGGGCCTTCTGACGGTTCCCTCCCTGTGAGAAGTGAGGTTACAGGGAACCAGGCAGAGGGCCTTCTCAGTGGTGGCATCAGCCGTGTGGAACGCCCTCCCACCAGATGTCAAAGAGATAAACAACTACCAGACATCTGAAGGCAGCCCTGTTCAGGGAAACTTTTAATGTGTGACATTTTAATCTATACTTAATCTTTGTTGGAAGCTGCCCAGAGTGGCTGGTGAAACCCAGCCAGATGGGCGGGGTACAAATAATTTCTTCTTCTTCTTCTTCTTCTTCTTCTCATTAAGGAGGGGGGAGCTAGCCAGTGGACAAGCCAAGATGGCAGTTTTCCCACCAAGATGGCAGCAGATTCAACCCAAACATCCTTTAAATGGACACTCCCCATTATGATGATACAATGACAACAGCCTGCAGGAACATCTTCATGTTAATTTCATGAATTTGGAAAACTGAAGGCAGCCCTGTTTAGAGAAGCTTTTAACACTTGATGTAATATTGTATTTTAATATTGTGTTGGAAGCTGCCCAGAGTGGCTGGGGAAACCCAGCCAGACGGGCAGGGTATAAATAATAAATTATTATTATTATTATTATGAGGCTGGGCTAGGGAAAGGCAGCTTCCTAACAGCTTACACTGGTCCAATACTTGCTGTCAAGGTACCCAAAAAGAGAAGAAGAGCTTGATGGATCATTCACTCCAGCACCCTGATCTCAGAGTGGTCAGATGCCCCTAGGAACCTAGGGATCTAGATAGACTGCTCTTGGGCCTGGAGGTTCCATTAGGAACGCCTGACTCCTGGATCACACCAAGGGCCCATCTTGTTCTCCCAGGGAACCAGGTGCCCCAATGAGAAACCCCCAAGCGGTACCCGCAAGAGCACTATCCCCTCTTGTGGTTTCCAGCAACTGGTACCCAGAAGCGCTGCCGCCTTCGGTGGTGATGGCAGAGCACAGCCATCATGGCCAATAGCCATCAATAGGTGGTGGGCACCACCGCTTCCTGCTGGAGGGAGTTCCGTCGTTTAACTACACAATGCTGGGGTGCAGAATGAATAGGGCCGTGCGTCCGATCTGACTGATGCCCGAATCCTCAACCAAAATCAGGGCGATTTGGGTGGATCCTGGCTTCGGCCGAATCAGGCTGAGACAGTGCCGTTGGCCTGCCCAGAGCGATCCGGGGCTCTCAAAAGGTGGGAGAGGGAACAGCACAACAAGATGGAAGAAGTAGAAAATTGAGATCACACATGGGTGAAGAGGAGTGGGGGGTATATGGGAATTTATAATATCATTTATAATATACATTTTCTAATCGTGCTGTATTTATATACAGCAAAGGTATTTATATACAGCAAAGGGAAGTTTAGAGTAATTAGGTATATTTTAATTCAGGTAACTTATGCAAGTGTGGAAAACTCAGCAGTGGCCAGAGGATTGGCGAAGATCAGTCTACATCCCAATCCCAAAGAAGGGCAGTGCCAAAGAATGCTCCAACTACCGCACAATTGCACTCATTTCACACGCTAGCAAGGTTATGCTTAAAATTCTACAAGGCAGGCTTAAGCAGTATGTGGACCGAGAACTCCCAGAAGTGCAAGCTGGATTTAGAAGAGGCAGAGGAACCAGAGACCAAAGTGCAAACATGCGCTGGATTATGGAGAAAGCTAGAGAGTTCCAGAAAGACATCTACTTCTGCTTCATTGACTATGCAAAAGCCTTTGACTGTGTCGACCACAGCAAACTATGGCAAGTTCTTAAAGAAACGGGAGTGCCTGATCACCTCATCTGTCTCCTGAGAAATCTCTATGTGGGACAAGAAGCTACAGTTAGAACTGGATATGGAACAACTGATTGGTTCAAAATTGGGAAAGGAGTACGGCAAGGCTGTATATTGTCTCCCTGCTTATTTAACTTATATGCAGAATTCATCATGCGAAAGGCTGGGCTGGATGAATCCCAAGCCGGAATTAAGATCGCCGGAAGAAATATCAACAACCTCAGATATGCAGATGACACAACCTTGATGGCAGAAAGTGAGGAGGAATTAAAGAACCTTTTAATGAGGGTGAAAGAGGAGAGCGCAAAATATGGTCTGAAGCTCAACATCAAAAAAACGAAGATCATGGCCACCGGGCCCATCACCTCCTGGCAAACAGAAGGGGAAGAAATGGAGGCAGTGAGAGATTTGACTTTCTTGGGCTCCATGATCACTGCAGATGGTGACAGCAGCCACGAAATTAAAAGACGCCAGCTTCTTGGGAGAAAAGCAATGACAAACCTAGATAGCATCTTAAAAAGCAGAGACATCACCTTGCCAACAAAGGTCCGTATAGTTAAAGCCATGGATTTCCCAGTAGTGATGTATGGAAGTGAGAGCTGGACCATAAAGAAGGCTGATCGCCGAAGAATGGATGCTTTTGAATTCTGGTGCTGGAGGAGACTCTGGAGAGTCCCATGGACTGCAAGAAGATCAAACACATCCATTCTTAAGGAAATCAGCCCTGAATGCTCACTGGAAGGACAGATCCTGAAGCTGAGGCTCCAAGACTTTGGCCACCTCCTGAGAAGAGAAGACTCCCTGGAAAAGACCCTGATGTTGGGAAAGATGGAGGGCACAAGGAGAAGGGGACGACAGAGGACGAGATGGCTGGACAATGTTCTCAGAACTACCAACATGAATTTGACCAAACTGCGGGAGGCAGTGGAAGGCAGGAGTGCCTGGCGTGCTCTGGTCCAGGGGGTCATGAAGAGGCTGACACGACTAAACGACTAAACAACAACAACTTACGCAATAGGTTTAAGTTAGAAAACGAATATGGATTCTGAATTTGATCTTTGTAATACTCTTTGGTTTTGGAATAATAAAGAAATTTTGGGGGGTGGGGGTGGGAAAGGGAGTCGCAGGACCCCTCTGCAAAGAACAACGCAGGGCCCTTTGCAAAAGGGCTTTGAAACAGCCCCGCACTGAGCCTTGGTTGTCCACGCACCTCTTTCCCAAGCAGGGGAACAAACCTGCAAAGCCAAAGCGAGCAGGATTGAACCCTCTGCTCACCAGGGTCCAATCCTGCTAGTTGCAGGGGTCTGCCCCAGCTCATTCCGCACAGGTTCATGAAATAGCAGAACTTTTTTCTTCTCTTTTTTTTGAGAACTTGGCTTGTGCCTTATCATATCACAGAATTATAGGATTCTAGACCTGGGAGGGGGTCCTCCGTTTAGCCCAACGCCCTGAAAAGCAAGAATCACAACTAACGACGAGAGAGGGCCATTCAACCCCTGCTTAGAAACCTCCAGTGGAGTCCACCGCCTTCCGAGGAGACTGTCCTGCTGTCAATTGGCTCTTAATACATCAGCTGCACCTGTGGGATTCCTACGCATCACAAGGATGTTCAGTTCTGACCAGTTCAGTTCCAAATGAATCCGAACTTCAAAGTCTAAAATCCCTGGTAGAGGACAAGGATCCTGAGATCACGTTAAGGGTAGCCAAATTCTGCGGGATTGCCATAAAACTTAGGGAACAAGCTGTGCTATCATAATGATTAAGGCCTTAAATGATAAATTTAGGTTATATTTTAGTGACTAAGTTTTAATTTATATGTTTTTAAACTGTTGCTATACAGTCACGGGACGCAGGTGGCGCTGTGGGTTAAACCACAGAGCCTAGGACTTGCCGATCAGAAGGTCGGTGGTTCGAATCCCCGCGCCGGGGTGAGCTCCCGTTGCTCGGTCCCTGCTCCTGCCAACCTAGCAGTTTGAAAGCACAAAGTGCAAGTAGATAAATAGGTACCACTCCAGTGGGAAGGTAAACAGCGTTTCCGTGCGCTGCTCTGGTTCGCCAGAAGTGGCTTAGTCATGCTGGCCACATGACCCGGAAGCTGTCTGTGGACAAATGCCGGCTCCCTCGGCCAATAAAGCGAGATGAGCGCCGCAACCCCAGAGTCGGTCACGACTGGACCTAATGGCCAGGGGTCTCTTTACCTTTTTATACAGTCACACCTTGGGTTACAGCCTCTTCAGGTTGTGTTTTTTTGGGTTACGGACCGCCGAAACCCGGAAGTACCAGAACGGGTTACTTCCGGGTTTCGGCGATCGCGCATGTGCAGAAGAACTAAATTGTGCTTTGCGCATACGCAGAAGCGCTGATTCACAACCAGCACGTGTGCAGACGCGTGTTGCGAACGCTGCAGGTTGCGAACGTGCATCCCGCACGGATCACGTTTGCAACCCGAGAGTCCACTGTATCTGTATTGCCCCTGTTATATCTAATTGCAAATTCAAATGTATCTCCGTTGTGTTTTACGACTTCCTTGATAGTGTATGTGTGCTGGAACTGGTCTGTGACCGAAATAATAAATTCGAAAGGAAACCCTCCGTGCCACACACACACACACACACACACACACACACACACACAGCCGGCCCTTACCTGATGAAGACTATGACCCCGACCCTTGCAATGTCTTTGTGCAGGATTTTCCAGGACTCTCGGATCAGGGCCTTCTGAGACTCTGAAAGGGAGAGCCGCTCAGGGTTTTCCCCGCACTCAGTCTCCTTGCTCCAGTCCAGCCCGCCTTCCACAAACGACCCTCTCTTTTGCACGTCAAAAGTTGGCTCCGGTGTGACGCCTGGTCCAGATAAGGCACACCCCATCTTTCTCCGGGGGGACGGATTCTGGCACCCTGGATCCTCCTGTCCCTCCACGCCAGCTAAAGCAAACAGAAATTTTTTATTTCAAAGATAGCTGGAGACGGAACAAACAGGCATTAATTGAATCAGCTCTCGGGGGAGAAGGGAGAAGCGCTGGCGATGGTTTCGTGGCACACGTTGTTCCCGCTGAAAATTGTAAGCGAGCAGGAAACGGTCCGCCAGGCCCACTTTGTTTCACAGAATTGGGAGGGACCCCGAGGGTCATTTAGTCCAACCCCCTGCAATGTAGGAATCTTTCCCACAACTCTGAGATTAAGAGCTTCATGCTCTGCCCACTGAGCAATCCCACCTAAGCTAGTTTCAGTTATATTCCTATCCAGACCTCTCCCTGAAGAGCGGGGGGCAGAGTCTCCCCACCCCACCCCAGATAACGTCATCACAACCTTGCAAGGTAGGCCAGCTTGACAGACGGCAGAGACCCAGGACATTCAAGGGCTGGACAGGGATTTGAACCCAGGGCTCGGGTTAAAAACACTCATGCACACACTCAACCGAATGAAAAGGGTAGATGTGCGTGTGGAGGCTGTGAAAAGGGCAGATTCCATGCTAGGGATCGTTATGAAAGGAAATGAATATAAAACTGCTGTTATCATAATAAGGCCATTATGCAAATCTATAGCGCATCTGGAACACTATGTAGCATTCTGGTCGCCTTGCCTCAAAATGGATATTGTAGAGTTGGAAAAGGGAACCAGAACGACCCACTTCCCTGTGCGAAAAGGTTGTTGCGTTTGGAACTTAGAATAGGGTTACCAGACGTCCCTGGTTCCCGGGGACAGTCCCCGGATTTGCAAATCTGTCCCTGGACAAATTCCGTCCCCGGAATGTCCCCAGATTTGCAAATCTGTCCCCGGGAAACGTGGCAGCGGCAGCCTCAGCAACCTGGAGCCAGCCTGGTGGCACAGTTGGCTCTGGCTAGTTATAGGAGCTGTTCGCTGCCCGCTGCCATGGCACCCACCATTTTTCCTGCACCACGGCAGCGAGCAGCTCCTGAAGCCAGCAAGAGCCAACTGCGCTACCAGAAGGGGAAGGGGGCAAGAGATTGGGGAAGGCTTGGGAGTCACAGGCGCGGGGCGCACCATTGCCCAGTCTCTGCGCATTTGTTTCACAGGGTGCAGAAGAAGGGCTTTGCACCTTTATACAATATGCATGTGTGCTTGGGCCCAGGGTCTTTTGTCTCACCATCCCCACTACTGACTCCCTGCTGCTACTCAGATTAAAAAAGAAGAAGGAAAAAAATGTCCCCGGATTCGTTGAAAAAAAATATATCTGGTAACCATAACTTAGAATCAGAGTTGAGACCCTGAGGGTCATCTAGACCAACCCGCTGCAATGCAGGAGTCTCAACTCAAGCATCCATGACAGATGGCCATCCGACTTCTGCTTCAAAACCTCCAAGGAAGGAGAGGCCACCAACTGCGGGAGGCAGTGGAAGACAGGAGGGCCTGGCGTGCTCTGGTCCAGGGGGTCACAAAGAGGCAGACACAGCTAAACAACAACAACAACATGTTTTTATACTGTATTTTATGCTGCTTTTATAATTAAGTGTTTTAAATTTGTTGTTAGCCACCCTGAGCCCGGTTTTTGAACCGGGAAAGGGCGGGGTATAAATAAAATAATAATAATAATAATAATGTGCATATTTTAAATTGGTTTCTCTTCTCATTGTAAGCAGCCCCCAGGTTGTACACAGAGCAGCGTGGGAATGCCTCAATTCAATAAACGGAGGGTGCATGTTGCAATTAAAAGTGTTCCTTGCACTTTGACAAAGAGCTTGAGGTTTTGCAGTGGGGGGGGCGGGCAGTGGATGGGAAGCGGTTGGCGCCAGCAGGGGGGCACTTCTTGCCTCCCACCCACCGGCTCTGCTGGTACACATGGCCACTTGGGAGCCGCTGCCAGGCTGCGAACGGAAGCCTCTGAGCTGCTGGAGGAGATCCATGGAGAGGCGCCGGCAAACAAGAGTGTTCGGCTGAAGCGGTGCCAGTTTCCGTCCGGAAAAGTACAAGGATGGGTGGGAGAGACCGGGGAAATCTCCAAGGACCCAAAGATGGAGATGGGAATGATGGGGGAACCCCAAAGCTCGCAAGGAGCATCTCAGGCCCCAAATTTATGGGGCGCAAAATTAGGGTGGACTCTGGCAATGTTACAAGATGGGCCCTGGAGTTGTTGTTGTTTAGTGGTGTCCGCCTCTTCGTGACCCCCTGGACCAGAGCACGCCAGGCCCTCCTGTCTTCCACTGCCTCCCGCAGTTTGGTCAGACTCATGCTGGTACCTTCGAGAACACTGTCCCACCATCTCGTCCTGTGTCGTCCCCTTCTCATTGTGCCCTCCATCTTTCCCAACATCAGGGTCTTTTCCAGGGAGTCTTCTCTTCTCATGAGGTGGCCAAAGTCTCAGAGCCTCAGCTTCGGGATCTGTCCTTCCACTGAGCACTCATGGCTGATTTCCTTCCGAATGAAGAGGTTTGATCTTCTTGCAGTCCATGGGACTCTCCAGAGTCTCCTCCAGCACCAGAATTCAAAAGCATCCATTCTTCGGCGATCAGCCTTCTTTATAGTCCAGCTCTCACTTCCATACATCACTACTGGGAAAACCAGAGCTTTAACTATACGGACCTTTGTCGGCAAGGCGATGTCTCTACTTTTTAAGATGCGTCTAGGTTTTGCTATCGGGTTGCCATATTTCAGAAAGTAAAACTGTTGAGCCCTGGAGACGGAGGTTAATTGGGAGGGCAGACCAGCCTTGCTCAGAGTGTCTTTGCTGTGATGTGCAGCCAACTTCTTAATATTTTTTTGAAGTTATTGATAAGGGTGCTCTTGTGCACCTGGAGATTCAAGCCCTTTCTCCACCTGGAGACTTCAGACCCGGAGGTCTGGAAGTCCTAAACCACATCCTTTCTCCTCAGGTGTGCCTCTCCTCAGCCCTCGTCTCTCTGCGCCATTCTTGTGTGCTGTTACCTGCCTGGAAGGTGTGGCTGTGCCTCTTCCCAAACTGGACTGTGAGTTGTTTTTTGTAATTTAAATTTTTTTATTTTAATATAATAATTCAACATTAATACATACATATTACAAATATACAGACAAACATACATTTCATACAATCCTTAAAAATATTCATACATACCCACACTCAATCCCACACATACTTCCTTTTCCCACCACCACCCCTCACCCCACCCTTGTGTTAGACTTTCAATCTACTCAGTTGCAATTTCTTTCCCCTTCTATTACTTTCTTTCACACACTTTTAAACCAACTTTCTACTTCTTTTTCTGTTACACATTGTTATCCATCTTATTTAGTATTTCATTATTTATAACAGAACTTATTTATTCTAACAGGAGTTCTGATTTTTCACTATGATTTTGCAAGTATCCTTTAAACACCTTCCAGTCCTTGTCTATTTTCTCTTTTGAGATCCTTCCAATTTCTCCCATTGTTTTGGATATATTGTAATACTCCAATAATTTGGCAAGCCACTTTTGTCGGTATTATACCACTTTTCCAATTTGGGAAAATGGAAAAGTGGACCGTCAGTTGTGTGCCTGTGTGTAGCCGTAGAAACTCGTGTGTGGCCAGAATTCAGCCAACAGAACAAAGGCAAGAGTCACACCACCATCTCCCGTTAGAATGCAGCCGTCAAGGGGTTTGCGCGCACAGGAATGTGTCCCCCGACCTTAATTTCTCGCATTGCACTGTGACAAACCTGGGTTTGCCACTGAGCAGAAACTCAACACGCACCAGGAGACAGATGCGCTTCTGAACACCCGACTGACACCCCCGCATGCTAAATGCTTCAGGCTACACCAAAGAGACATAATTTGCGAACAAGTTGGGTAGGAGATAGGGACGCGGGTGGAGGGGGTCTAAACCACAGAGCCTAGGGCTTGCCGATCAGAAGGTCGGCGGTTCGAATCCCCGCGATGGGGTGAGCTCCTGTTGTTCGGTCCCTGCTCCTGCCAACCTAGCAGTTCAAAAGCACGTCAAAGTGCGAGTAGATCAATAGTAACGCTCTGGCGGGAAGGTAAATGGCGTTTCCGTGCGCTGCTCTGATTCGCCAGAAGCGGCTTAGTCATGCTGGCCACATGACCCGGAAGCTGTATGCCGGCTCCCTTGGCCAATAAAGTGAGATGAGCGACGCAACCCCAGAGTCGGCCACGACTGGACCTAATGGTCAGGGGTCCCTTTACCTTTACCTTTAGGTAGGAGATAAAGGAGGAAATGTAGACACGCAACCAGAGATCTCTAATATAATCGCTTTTTTCAAATGGTCTGGGGTTTGTTTTTTTTTTAACAGATTAATCAACTCAATTTTTTGTTGATTAACAACCAGCTGAAGCCAGGAACGGAGCAGTCTTTTGTTTCTCGTGTGTTAATGTAAGGAATAGCGAAAGAGAAATATTCTTAAAGAATGGATACCTTTTGTTGTTGATGATGATGATTAACAGCCAGCACCGTTTATTAACCGGAGGCGTGGGGGCTTCGGTCCAGCTCGTTTACATCCCGGGCTCGGCGCTGCACCTAAGTAAGAGGCTCCCGGATCGCAGCCCAGGCGCCCTCCCGCGCCCTCTAAGCGCCCGGCGCCCCTTACCTGTCCCCGTCGGGGGGAACTCCGCGCGACAGGAGTACCAGCAAGATCAGGTGGCTCGCCAGCTGTGCCATCCTCACTCGGCTCCGGGATCGCACTGGGTGCTTCCCTGCTCCTCTGGCAGACTCCGCAGGGGGGCGGCAGGCGGCGAGGTGGCCTTGCGCCCGCCCCGATTGCGCCCTCCAGGTGCCCAGGCAGCCCCGGAGGGAGAGGATGTGAAGGTGCTTCCCTGAGCCGGACGCAGCGCGCTCCGATGGGCGGCGGAGAGGAGGGGAGCCAGGAAGAGAGCGCGCCCTGACTCTCCTTCCCGGACACTCAGCCTGCGGCGCCCTCCAAAATCTGGCGCCCTTGCGCCACTAATCTCTGTGGGTAAGACGTCCCTGTATCATAGCTGTCAACTTTTCCCTTTCCTTGCGAGGAATCCTATTCGGAATAAGGGAATTTCCCTTTTTTAGAAAAGGGAAAAGTTGACAGCTATGCCCTGTATAGGAGCAACAACAATATTTAATCAAGCAAAGGAACCTATAGTGAGGCTTTTCAGGGTTATTAGAAAGTAACCGATTCATCACTTAAGAAAGCCAAGGATCAAATTCCTTAATTGGCAAGGTTCTCAACCTGTGGGTCCCCCCAGATGTTGTTGGACTACAACTCCCATCATCCCTAGCTAGCAAGGCCAGAGCTCAGGGATGATGGGAGTTGTACTCCAACAACATGGGGGGGGGGCGACGACCCACAGGTTGACCAGGTCTGTGCAAAGCACGATACTGCATATCACTTAACAAATGTAAGAAGAATTTGCTAGATTAGGCCAATGACCCATCTAGTCATAGAATCATAGATCTGTAGAGTTGGAAGGGACCTCCAGAGTCATCTAGTTCAACCCCTCCCCCCCGCGCACAATGTGGGAAGAAGCACCTGTCCCATCTGGGGATCGAACCTGCAATGTTGGTGTTCTCAGCACCACTCCAGGATCCTGCTGCCACCCAGAAGGCTCTTCTGGGAAACCCACAAGAAGGATGCCAGCACAATTAGCAACTCTCCCTTCCTGGGGTTTCCAGCAGCTGGGATTCAGAAGCAGGGCTGCCTCGACTGTGGAGGCAGAACAGAGAAGTCCTGGCTAGCAACCATCAATTGTTGTTGTTTAATCGTTTAGTCATGTCCTCCTCTTGGTGACCCCCTGGACCAGAGCACACCAGGCCCTCCTGTCTTCCACTGCCTCCCGCAGTTTGGTCAAACTCATGCTGGTAGCTTCGAGAACACTGTCCCACCATCTCATCCTCTGTCGTCCCCTTCTCCTTGTGCCCTCCATCTTTCCCAACATCAGGGTCTTTTCCAGGGAGTCTTCTCTTCTCATAAGGTGGCCAAAGTCTTGGAGCCTCAGCTTCAGGATCTGTCCTTCCAGTGAGCACTCAGGAATGATTTCCTTCAGAATGGAGAGGTTTGATCTTCTTGCAGTCCATGGAACTCTCAAGAGGCTCCTCCAGCACCAGAATTCAAAAGCATCCATTCTTCAGCGATCAGCCTTCTTTATGGTCCAGCTTTCACTTCCATACATCACGACTGGGAAAACCATAGCTTGAACTATACGGACCTTTTTTGGCAAGGTGATGTCTCTGCGACCATCAATAGCCTCCATGAACTGGTCCACTCTTCCTTCAAAGTCCTACAAGCTGTTGGATATCACTGTCTCTAGTGGGAGGGAGTTCCATAGTTTAACTCTCTGCCCTAAATCTCCCAAGGTTGAGCATTTTCAGACATCCACTTCCAAGCCACATCAGGGAGACAAGGGGGCAAGGATGGGGCTGACAGGTGTGTCTTGGGGACTGGGTGAACCCTGGAGCAGCACCCAGGCTGAAGTCCTCCAGGGGAGGTTTTGCTGAACTGCCAGGAGGGCTAATAATAATATAATAATTTTTTTTATATACCCTGCCCTTCCTGGTTCAGAAAACTGGGCTCAGGGCGGCTAACAACAAATTTAAAACACTTAATTGATGCAACAAAAAACAGCATAAAATACAGTATCAATAACAATAAATTCAGAATTCAAAAATCTTTTTTTGTGGGGGGGGAAATCCGTCCAATAAACATTAGATGATCACCAGGGCTAGCTGGCTAAGTTAGTCCTATTGGGCCAGCAAGGAGACCAGGGGAGAATTAGTTGTGGGATTCCAGAGCTGGTAATCTTCAGAAAAAGGGGAGGGGGAGGTAAGGAAGGGAAATAAGTAAGAACTGGAGGAGAGGTCAGCCTCTGATCCACCCAGCGGCACAGAAAACAAACTCAGACTGAGGTTGCAATCCTGTGCACACTTACTTGGGAGCAAGCCCCGCCAAACTAAATGAATTTGCTTCTGTGTAAAGCTAGGGATGTGGGTGGCGCTGTGGTCTAAACCACAGAGCCTAGGACTTGCTGATCAGAAGGTTGGCGGTTCGAATCCCCGCGACGGGGTGAGCTCCCGTTGCTCTGTCCCTGCTCCTGCCAACCTAGCAGTTCGAAAGCACATAAAAGTGCAAGTAGATAAATAGGTACCGCTCCAGCGGGAAGGTAAACGGCGTTTCCGTGCGCTGCTCTGGTTCGCCATGCTGGCCACATGACCCAGAAGCTGTACACCGGCTCCCTCGGCCAGTATAGCGAGATGAGCACTGCAACCCCAGACTTGGCCAAGACTGGACCTAACGGTCAGGGGTCCCTTTACCTTTACCTTAAACGCACATAGGATTGTGCTGTGATGCAAGAATGGTCAAGCTAGAATAAAATTCACAAGCAAGGGAAGATTCACTTTGCTTCCCACCCCTGTCAAAATTCTGCTTGTAGCTTCTGTGGAGCAGTGGGGGAGACTTGTTCCCCCACTTTTGGGGTATGTGTGTGTGTTTATCTCCAACTCCTCGAAAGATTCCATCAACGGCGTCTCCAAATTTTTTTACATCACTTGGGAAGACAGGCGAACCAATACCAGTGTACTGGAAGAAGCAAAGATCACGAGTATTGAAGCAATGATTCTTCAACATCAACTTCGTTGGACTGGTCATGTTGTGTGGATGCCTGATGATCGGCTTCCAAAGCAACTACTCTATTCCCAACTTTAAAATGGTAAGCGTAATGCTGGTGGTCAACAAAAGAGTTTTAAAGACTCTCTCAAGGCAAATCTTTAAAAAATGTAGTATAAACACTGACAACTGGGAAACACTGGCCTGCGAGCGCTCCAGTTGGAGAACAGCCTTGACCAAAGGTGTCCTGGGCTTTGAAGACACTCGAACTCAGGACGCAAGGGAGAAACGTGCCAAGAGGAAGGCACGCTTGGCAAATCCACACCGTGATCTACTCCCACCTGGAAACCAATGTCTCCACTGTGGAAGGATGTGTGGATCCAGAATTGGCTCCACAGTCACTTACAGACTCACTGTTACAACCGTGTTCATGGAAAACAATTCTACTCAGCTGTGAGCGATCCACAAGGAAGAGGAATTTGCCCAATAGACCACTATTTATATCGGTGATGGCAGAGAAAGTGATACTATCTTAGAACAGCAAGAGAGGCAGTGTGATGCAATGGTTAGAGTGTCATAGAGTAGTACCTGGGAACCAGGGTTCAAACCCCCCACTCAGCCCTGAAGCTTGGGCCAGTCACTGCCTCTCAGCCTGACCTACCTCTCAGGGTTGTTGCGTGAGCATAAAATGGGGAGAAGAACCATTTATGCCCCCTTAACCTCTTTGGAGAAAAGGGTGCATTAATGCAACATAACTTCAACAAATATTGCAGGTTGCGGGGGGGGGGGGAGAGAATCTCATTCCCTAGCAATGCAACAGACCGAAAAGCGCCCACTGTCCACATTTAATTTGTAAGCTTTCTGGGGCAGAGACCTGTTCCCTGCTTTGTGGGGGGGGCGCTATGTGGGCTTATTTTCCCGTGCCTATCTATGAAATTAATGCAATGTTAGAACTGCAGCCAGCGGGGCAGGGGGAGAGATCTCATTCCCTGGCGATGAAACAGACCCCGGAATGCCCACTGTCAACAGTTAAGTTTGCAAGTTCTCTGGCGCAGATACTTATTTCCGCCTCGGTTTGGGGTTGCAGCCAGCCCTGGGGAAGGAGAAGGGCAAAGACTCTCCTATCCTCAGCCTTGATAAAAGACCGAAAAGTGCCCACTTACCCGCGCAAGTTCTTCTCCGCAAGGGCTGAGGAAAAAAACACCCGGTTCAGCAACTCCAGGAGGAAATTCCAGAGCGAGGAAAAGCAACAAACTGTCTTTGGAAAGAAATTCCCTCCTGCGCTGCTGTGATTCCTGCTCACAGTCTTTTCTCTCTTCTCCAGCAGGTGAATCCCATATGCAGCCTGCAGATCAAGCACCCGAGGGCAGCTTCAGGATCTTAGAGCCTGCCTCGTTCAGAACCGCGCGCCCTCCTTCCTCTCCCGAGACAGCAGAATAACGCCATCATCATCGCTTAGCTCTCCTGCTGCTGCTCTATTTAAATACAAATGGATCATTCTCCCTTTCATCTCCACCTGAAGCCATGAAAGCAGAGGTTCAATTAAGGCGCAGAAGAGATGGGGGGGGGGGGGGAGGGTTTGCCGGCGCCCATCTGTGCACAACAAGCGCGTTGGAGAGGATTTCTCCCTCCCTCCTGGGGAATAAGGGCTGGCAGGCAGGAGGGCTGGGCGCCAGGAATGGGAGAAAGGAAGGAAAAGGAGCGTTGCATTTTGGCACCCGGGTGGGCTGCATTTCCAGCACCCCACGCCTTGTGCTGAGCATTTGCCAGTGCCAGATTTATGTACAGTGGTACCTCAGGTTACAGACGCTTCAGGTTACAGACTCCGCTAACCCAAAAATAGTACCTCGGGTTAAGAACTTTGCTTCAGGGTGAGAACAGAAATCGCGCGTCGGCAGCAGGAGGCCCCATTAGCTAAAGTGGTGCTTCAGGTTAAGAACAGTTTCAGGTTAAGAACGGACCTCCAGAACGAATTCAGTTCTTAACCTGAGGTACCACTGTATAAGCTAAACAAGCGACAGTTTAGGGCACCACTCTCTTGGGGCCCCCCAAAAAATTTAAACGAAAAAAACCCCTGGATGTACATTTCCAAAATATAAGATAAACAACTTCTTACTTCTTTTCAGTTCAACAATTACTTTGATAACATGCATATCTTGTGATGTGCAGATGGCTTGAGATACCTATGAGGTCCATAAATTGCCATCTAGCATATATTCATCACAAAAAACAGTGGCAGTTTGTGGTTGACAAAGGACAGCTGGACATATAAAGGGCCCCATTACCTTCAGTAGCTTAAGGCCTCATCCAACCTCAATCCGGCCCTGCCCACACCCCTAGCATTGTGGTCCTGATCCGGCTTCAAGAGAGTGTCCCCAGGTGCTGTGAGCTGCAACACTGTACTGTGGACTCCCCACTTGGGCGAACCTTGCTTAAAAGGAATTCCTACTTCTTGGGGAACACTGGGAAGGAGAGAACGAGGGAGTGAGGGATTTCTCCTAAAGGCGCCAATTTCCCTTCCTGCAAGTGGCAATGGGCCGCCCTTTTTCTTGAGTAGGTGTGCAAAGGATCCCTCAGCACGAGCGCTTGAGCCGGGAAACCCTCAATCAGTACTTCACTTCTGTCAGAACCGGCATTGCGACAGGTGCTACAGAACACATAACAGGAAGCGCTTCTTTTCACAGCGCAGAGTTAATCTGTGGAACACCCTCCCACAGGAGTGGGATGCAAGAACTCCATCTTTTAGTGTGGCAGCCCCTACACTTTGGATCTCCCTGCCGATTGACATTAGGCCTTCACCGTACTATTTTGTTGCCTGCTAAAGTCCCCACAGGGACGCGGGTGGCGCTGTGGGTTAAACCACAGAGCCTAGGACTTGCCGATCAGAAGGACGGCGGTTCAAATCCCCACAACGGGGTGAGCTCCTGTTGCTCGGTCCCTGCTCCTGCCAACCTAGCAGTTCGAAAGCACGTCAAAGTGCAAGTGGATAAACAGGTACCGCTCCGGCAGGAAGGTAAACGGCGTTTCCATGCGCTGCTCTGGTTTGCCAGAAGCGGCTTAGTCATGCTGGCCACATGACCCGGAAGCTGTACGCCGGCTCCCTCGGCCAGTAAAGCGAGATGAGCGCCGCAACCCCAGAGTCGGCCACGACTGGACCTAATGGTCAGGGGTCCGTTTACCTTTTCAAAGTCCCCACACCCCAGAAAGAAGGAATCCACATGTTATTGGCTGGGTGTATGGCAATGTTCTTTTTCTTTGATATATCAAAATAAAGTGAAACTACATGCCAATAAAGTCATTGCCATCTGATTGATATTCTGAGCCTGACATACCACGAAGGATTTCCAAGTGTTTTCCAGCTGCAAGCACTCTTATGGCCACAACCAATAAGAGTTATAAAGTATTTGTGGTGCAAATCTTCCAGTTGGCCCACAAGTAGGGATGGAAGGATCTGTCAGTTTCTCATTTCTTCCCGTCTTTAATTCAGTTCCCCACATTTTGCAGCGATTTGACTTTTATTTATTTTGGTGTTTTATACAGTATATATATATACACACACCAAAATGCTGATACATTTTCACTGGGACATTTTGGTGTGAACTTGTAACAAGCACACATTTCTTATATGCAGCTTTGACTAATATTCTGGGAGCAATTATTCTCACCAATATAAATATTCATCTTTATGTATGCGTTCCTTAACTGATGGGTTTTTGGAAGCGTCGTTTGGCTGGAGAACTGCAGTGCAAAATTCGGAGAAACACCAAATTTGGAGGAAGACTGCGTTTCAATCTCCACCTTGTTCTGGAAAGTTTGGGAAAGCTTGCATTTCATAGAATCATAGAATCATAGAATCCTAGAGTTGGAAGAGACCACAAGGGCCATCGAGTCCAACCCCCTGCCAAGCAGAATTTGTCCCCCACCCCTACGTCCGCAGATGTCCTTTCTGTCTGCACTTGCAAAAGGATTCCGGGTGCTTTTGGCTATTTTGTGTGTGCGCGTGGTGGATCAGGAAAGCGGCTGCAATGGAGATCATGTTCCATGCTCAGCCAAGCACAATATTCTGGCTTCTGTCAAATTATCAAAATGTTCTCCAAGTTTGCAGCGTCATTTAATACGGAGCGGGGGAACCTTCACCCTCTTTGACCAGCACTTTGCTACACGACGGCAAGCTCTCTCAAGCCTGATCTCTTTCCCCAGTGGAGCAATTCATGGAATCATGTTTCCCATCCGGCCAGCCGTTTTGCACAAATCTGAGCAGGAAACACTCAGAATGAGAAAGGGAATTTTGGCAGGACGGTCGTTTTTTAAACGCTGCCTTCTTACCCAGCCATGACACGCTGACCTTGAACCACCTTGCCAGGCCCTACGGAACCGCGGTTCAGAAGGGGGAGTGAAGTTCAGTTTTTAAAGAGCCTTTTTGGGGGGTGGGGACACATGCGAGCGATTTGTGATGAATTCAAATTTCGCTTATGTTGGAGAGCGGTGTTTGTGCGCGGACATGGAGCACTTTGGGTTTTCTGTAACTTACCGTATTTTCCCGTGTATAAGGCGCCCCCGTGTATAAGACACCCCCTCTTTTTGGGGGCTCCAAACTGAGGAAATGGGGGGATATTGCCCAGACTTGTTGAGCTTTTTGAGGGGGAAGGCTGCCAAAAATCGCTCACCCGCAGGACTGCAACAGCCAATCTCGTATGCAACCACAAGGCCGCAAATCCAGTGCACAATCGCTGATGGCAAGCACCAATCGCCCGCCCGCACCATGGCCCCACCCCAATGGGCAGTTCACCCCGCCCCTATGGGGCAGTCCTCACCAGGTGCTGGAGAGGCTTCCTCCGCTGCTTGCTGGACTAGATGAGGCTGCTGGCCTGATCCAATAGGCTTTTTAATGTGCACGTGCTTTTATAAATTTTATTGAATTTTCCCATTTTAACACTTTCCTAAAAACATTACGTGGAACTCCCACCCCACGCCCCTTCCATGGTGTTCTATCTATGCTGTCGTTTAAATGCTGCACATATATTTTTAAATTCTTAATCTCTAGGTTTAATCATCCTAAGTATTCGTCTCAATATTTCGGAGCTGTTCATATTTCAAATCATGCTCACGTTTTCATAATACTGTTGTTGTTGTTGTTGTTTAGTCATTTAGTCGTGTCCGCCTCTTCGTGACCCCCTGGACCAGAGCACGCCAGGCACTCCTGTCTTCCACTGCCTCCTGCAGTTTGGTCAAACTCATGTTTGTAGCTTCAAGAGCACTGTCCCGCCATCTCGTCCTCTGTCGTCCCCTTCTCCTTGGGCCCTCCATCTTTCCCAACATCAGGGTCTTTTCCAGGGAGTCTTCTCTTCTCATGAGGTGACCAAAGTCTTGGAGCCTCAGCTTCAGGATCTGTCCTTCCAGGGAGCACTCAGGGCTGATTTCCTTAAGAATGGAGAGATTTGATCTTCTTGCAGTCCATGGGACTCTCCAGAGTCTCCTCCAGCACCAGAATTCAAAAGCATCCATTATTCGGCGATCAGCCTTCTTGATGGTCCAGCTCTCACTTCCAAGGTATTGATGGTCCAGCTCTTATTGCAAAGTATTGGAAGACACAAGATCTACCCACACTGGAGGAATGGCAGATGAAAATGATGGACTATATGGAATTGGCGGAAATGACGGGCAGAATCCGAGACCGGGGAGAAGAGTCGGTGGAAGAAGATTGGAAGAAATTTAAAGACTACCTACAGAAATACTGTAAAATTAATGAATGTTAGACTGATGACGGATTGAAGTTAAGTGGTTTCTAGCAGTTATGGTTAAAAGAATTGAAAAATTGGTTTTTTAATAGGTAAAAATTTAATGTTATAATATATTAAGATCAAAGATTGGGATTTAAAAGGAGGGAAAGAAATTGCTGGACTAACAAACTGAATTGGAATACAAAAGAGGGAGGTATGAGGAGGTCCAGGAAACAAGCAAATATAAAAGAAGTGATGAAAAGACGGAATTGTTTTTAACTGTTTTTTTCTTCTTTTTTTTCTTTTTGTATTTTGTATTGTGTATTTTTTCTTTTTATTCTTAAATTCTTCTTTTTTTAAAAAAAAAAAAAAGAATGGAGAGATTTGATCTTCTTGCAGTCCAGGGGACTCTCCAGAGTCTCCTCCAGCACCAGAATTCATAAAATATTCTACGAGATACTTCCATTTGGCTTTTTGTTCGTTACTTGGTTTGTTCTGGTTCTTAAGCAGAAAGTCCTCTGGGATTCGCTTGTAAAGGATGCCTGATGCTGTTGTCATGGCATTTTTGTGGACACAAGGCCTCTGCCTTCTGGCTCAGCCTCCCTCTCTCTTCCTTAGGCAACAGATGGACTAATGGCCCCTTCTCCCAGGTAGCA